GCCATCCCCCGCCATCCCCCGCCATCCCCCAGGGCCTGGTCTCCGCAGGGCTCCAGGCAAAGCTGGACAGGAATGCCTCTTACAGGCTTAGCCTTCCTTGACCAGACTTCCAACGTTCTGCACCGTGAAGGGCTGTTTTTTTTTTAATGAGTATCTTCTAAAGGGGAGGCGTTAGCATCATGGCTGGGTGCTAAGTTTAAGTTTCTGGAGCACACCAGCCAGCGCTTGACCTTGACCCACCCAATGCCTTGGCCACCCACTCTTTCCCCATCTGTGGACAGAGGATGGGGGAAATGGTTAGGTTAAGCCTTTCTAGATCCTGTGTCTGCTGGAAACGTCGTTTGTGGCTCAGTCACACACAATCCAGGCCTTCCTGAGACCAAAGAGCACCTGTCACCCATGGTATCTTACAGCAGGTTTCTTCTCCCCTGCACCCTGCCATACCCAAGTCTCTCTTCCATCTCTTGTGTGTTGTTGTCCCTGGTTGGGTCATGGATTCCTAGGGTATCAGTGTCTCCTCTGCATGACTGACACCAAATCTGTATCCCTAATCCTATCTGGGGAGACCATATCACCAGTTGTCCACTGAACAAACTCTCCTAGGTGTCCCTTAAGCACCAAACACAAGGCCAGAGTGAAGCCATCTTCTGACATTCAACATCAACCTGCTTCTAAGAGCTGCCATTACATTCCTAATTGCCTAGACTGAAGTTGTGTGTGACTGAACCATCTTCCTTGGTCTTTACACATCTGCTTCTCCATCCTCTCAAATCCATCCCACAAAACCCTGATGATACCTGCTTCCTTCCCATGCCTGCAAACAATAATGTGTCAGCCCTATCTCTCCTTCCCAGAACAGTCTAAAGACCCCTGAGATGATGCCCCCCCCACTAATGGGGCCCCACAGTTGCATCCATTCTTCTTTCAAAATGAGGCAACAATACTTCAGTGTGTCGTTTATTGGATGCAGATGCACTTTTTAGCATGAAACTGAAGGACCCCCCCACCACCAGCTCTGCACCCTGCAGTCTAACCTTATCTCCCTAAGGCTAATCTTCAACCCCTTTGCTCACTGTACATGTTTTTGGAGACATGGTCTCATGTACCCCAGGCTGACTTCCAACTTGCTGTGTAACTGAGGATGGCATGTACCACCATGTTTAGTTTATGGGATGCTGGGGATCAAACCTAGGGCTTCATGCATGCTAGGCAAGCAATCTGCCAACTGAGCGACATCCCAATCCCTTGCTGTGCATCTTGATCATGGAGTTCCTACCTCCCTTCGCTGCCTACGCTCATCCCTCACGTCAACTCTCTTTTCCCTTACTGTGTTCCCATCATTTATTTCCCCCATCCAGTTTGACCCTTAGTTAGTTAATCTCCCTGGTTAGCCTGTAGGTAAGCTCCTTGAATCAGAGACCAAGCCTTGATCACCTTTGCACATCCCATTTATTTGACAAGAGTTGTCAGAATTTTTTACAAAGCTCTGCTTTTCAGCAGGAAGCTGTAAGAAAGAAGTAGACCACTAACAGTGATGAACTTGAAAGGGATGAGCCCCAAACCACTAGTTCTTTATGCTCTGTGCTGCGTCCTACAATCTGATGTGTGTTCATTGATTTGGCCTTTACTTAAGAACACATTCAAACCCAGTAGATACTGGCAGCACAAGTATTTGGCCCCACCATCTTCTCTGCTCTTCATGAGAAACAATCCAGTCACTAATTTAAAGAGCTCTAGAGATCATTTATGTTATAGACGAAAGCCCTTAGGAAAATAAAATGTACCAAGACCAGGATTCAGATCCAACTCTCCAGAGTAGGAAATCCTGGGTTCATTTTATCACACCTTCCAAATAGTAAATGGGTCAAAAATAATGTATTCCCCTTTTTAAAAATGTGTGGGTCAGGCCAGCATGATGATGGCTCATCGGGTACAAGCGTTTGCCTCCAAGCCTGACCATCTGAGTTGGATCCCTGGGACCCACATAGAAGGAGAGAACTTGTTTCCAGCAACCTGTGCACCATGGAATGAGCACATGTACACACAGACATAAATTAATTAACATTTTAAGGGCTGGAGAGATAGCTCGGCAGTTAAGAGCACTGGCTTCTCTTGAAGACCCAGGTTCAGGTCCCAGTGCCCATATAGCATCTCACAACCCTTTGTAAATCCAGTTCCAGAGATTCTTCTGGCCTCTGTGGGCACTGCACACATATGGTGCATTTATAAATACATGCAGGCAAATCACTTCTACACATATAAATAAATTTAAGAAATGTGGGGGCCATGATTTATTTATGAATGTTCCTATGATGTTCATCAAAAAAAACCATTTTATACTAATCATGTGGGTTGGACTGTTAGATTTGGACCTGATGGGTCTTCTTTTCATCAGGCCTTTGTCTAACTACAACATGAACAGGAGAAGGTGTATGGTCTTGGCTTTTAGGCAGCAATTCTAATACCATGGTCGTCAACTTGATTAGGAAATCCTACCATCTCCTTGGAACTTATCCAACTCAAAGTCAACTTACCACTGGCTCTCACCCCCAGTTCATTATTTCTAATAAGAGCCTGCCTTTCTTCGAGGTACCCCTTCTTACTTACCCCAGTGACTAAGTTTCAATAACCTCTGCCCACAATATTTCTCTCGTGCATTCTTCCATTCCTCTCTTATTGAGACTACCAAACTAGGCCTACTACCATGGCCAGATCCCCCTTCTTAAAGTGCCACTTTGAGTAATCCCCCATCCCTGCTCTGAAATCTGCAGCAATTCTCTACCTACAAGCTAAAGAACTCTTTCACTTAATTTTGAAGGCATAAAATCTCTCTCTCTCTCTCTCTCTCTCTCTCTCTCTCTCTCTCTCTCCCCTCCCTCTCTTTCTCTAAGGACCTCATGTGGACAGGGCAGTCTCAAATTCCCTATGGCGGTAAGGCCAGCTTCTGACTCCTGATCCTTCTGCCCCTATCTCCCAAGTGCTGCTGAGATTACAGGTGTCCTTCTCTGCTTTCTCTGCTGCTCTTCCATACACCTATGTTCAACTTCAGAATTTTTCTTGGTCATAGGAGGCCCTACCTACTAGTGTCTATGTTTCACTAACATCTTGCTTCATCTTCTCCCATCATGTTGCCAATATGAGTCATAGCCAAATTTTGCCCAGCCTGCCCCTAGCATAGTAATGTATACCTCTATCCCTGGCAAACAGAGAAGCTAAGGCAAGAGGACTCCATGCACCCAAAAGTCTGAGACTAACCAGGCCAATATAGCAGCACTCCTTATGTCTCCTTTCTAAGTCAAGTCCTGGAACAAATGCCACTTCTTTCATGAAGCTAACTCTAATCTCTTGCTTAGAAAGATTTTTTTCTCTCACCTCTGGAATTACACACCTCTTTATCTGCCTGTTCTCCCTGGAATTAGTAATTTATAGACATATCTTATCTGGCAGCTGGCTTATCTATAATTCCCCCATTGGCTTGAATGACATAACAACATATTGTTTCTCAAGGTGCAGTCCTGCCCTGGGACAAGGAGAGAAAGCCTTCTGTCTCATCTCACCTCATGCCCAGCCTCACAGAATGCATGACTTAGCAAAGGCCCTGCTAGACTTATGCATATTTACAAGAACACAATGTTGGTGCAAATGTGCCTGTGTGAAGAAGCCCAGTGGATATTGGTTGAAATGAATGAAATATACTCATGGGTCTATTGGCTCAAAAACTCTGCAAAAGCCCTAACCCTTCCATCTGGGACCAGAGTCACATGTTTGAAGTCTGATCAGTTATTTTCAGAAAACCGATATAAAACACCATGAATTTTATTTAGGAAGGGGCTCCCTGGTCATCAGCATTTTTTTTTCCTATTTTATTTGAGACAGAGCCTTATGTAGCTCAGGCTGGTCTTGAACTTTCTTTTTTTATTTTTATTTTATGTGTATGAGTGTATTGCCTGCATGTATGTGAGTGCACCTGTGTTGTGCAATGCCGCCGAGGTCAGAAGAGGGCTTCAGATTCCCCTGGAACTGGAGTTAAGGATGGTTCGTAGCCGCCATGTGGGTGCTGGGAATTGAACCCGGGTCCTCTGCAAGAGCAGTCAGTGCTCTTAACTGCTGAGCCCTTGAACTTTCTGTATAGCTGAAGATGACTTGAACTTCTGATCATCCCACCTTCACTGCCCATGGTAGAATTACAGGTGTTTTCCACCATGCTCAGTTTATGCACTGCTGGGCATGGAATCCAAGGCTTCACACACGCTAAACAAGCATTCTAACAACTGAACTACATCCCCAACCTCATCCTCATTCATTATGGTGTGGGGGTCAGAAGACTACTTGTAGGAGTTGGTTCTCTCCTTCTACTTCTGTCCTAGGGATGAAACCTGTGTCATTAGGCTTGGCAGCAAGTACTATTACCTGCTTGAGCTATCTAGGCAGCCCTCACCAGCATTCACTGACACAACAGAACTGTTTACACTATCCAGGTAATCAACCTCAACCCAATGAAGGCCAAAGGACCTGTGGACTCGGTTCTGAGCATTGAGGTAGTATGATGGTTTGAATGAAGACCATCCCCTGTCGAGTTGGAGGTGCTGTTGGGGGCTGGCTCTGCTGGAGGAAGTGCAGCACTGGGGGTGGGCTTTGAGAGTTCATAGCTTTGCCG